TACCATCTTACCCATTTTGAAACTCAACATTTTAATTTAACGTGAAATTACCGTTTCACCCTTGGATGTTTTTGGGTCGGGTTAGGACCCGTTTAATGATCCGGATCCATGAGGAGCTGGGTCGTTACAAGTGGCGGATGACAATCCCCTGCAAGCTTGAAGAAGATTAGGAATTATATTTTGTTATCTTTTGTATCTTAGCCTATTTTTTTGTATTGTCTCAAATTATGTAAAAGAGTATTTATTTTTGCAAATCATGGCCCTGTAACATAACTAAGATACTTGATTATTTTTGTTGTAAACTGAGACCATGTAAATGCTTAAGTTGAAGGGGATGACGAGGATGGGCTAATTTGGGAAAGTTGTTGATGTTGTGATATTGGGGAATGCATTATATTTCTTTTGTATTGTGTGTTGGGGCAGGTTGGATAGGTCTTGAAAGACCATTGTTTTTTTTTTTCATTTGAACAGATTGTTGTAGGACCATTTTTAGTGAAGGCCATGCCGAAATTTTTTTTTAAATTTTTTATTATTTTTGGTATTCAGTTTAGGGTCGTTACAATATTGTTTGCATTGTTCGTTGGGACATAATAGATTAGTTTATGGCCAAGTGAGGCCATTACATTTTTTTTATGCATTTGAATAAGTTGTGGTAGGACCCTTTTTAGTAGAGGTCATGTTAAATTTTTTTTTAGAATTGGTATCATTTTAGGGTCGTGACAAATTATCTCTTACCCCACTCCAAATCTCTTATATACTGAACTATAAGAGACTAATTAGGATCCACTATGAGCAAAAAAAAAAAAAGGGAGGGGGGGGTTCAAAATTTTTGGTAGACTTGAGCCCACATAAAACTCATTCAACTGGTTGTGGAGTTATAAGCCTGTCGTGTTCTCGTCACCAAATTAGGGTCACAATATTTCATAAGCCATATGAATAAATTTGTTAATTCATTAACTATCAATATAATTGAAAAAAGAGATTATGAATTGAAAAAATCAAAAAATAAATAAATAGTTTAAAAGGGGATTTTTATTTTTATTTTTTCCTCTGATTGAATTTCACCACGATAGGAAAGTTCCACGTGATTTACCTCTTCCCATTAGAAAACTTAAGGTTATAACGGAGAAAATCAAATTTAAATTTGGAAACTTAAGGAAAACTACAATTCCTATAAATATGTAAAATTAAACCGATGCTTATCACCTATTATTCACCGCGTAGAAACACCGCTAGGTATTTTTTTGTTTTGGGCACGAGAACGTGACATGCACGCAAGCTAGCTTACCCACCACGGAACCCTAGCCCTTTTCTATCTCTATAAATATACAAAGTACCACCATTTCTCTATCTCCCACGTACTCAACCCTTCTCTATGTTTATCAATCTTTCTTGCTTCTTTTTGTTTTCCAGGTCCTCTTTGATCTTGTTCTTCTTCTTCTTCTTAGTCGTGTTTGTGCACACAGACAGTGCAGGCGAAGAAAAATAAGATCAAGGAGGCCAGGAACCAGAAGGACAAGAAAGCGACATGGCGATGTCCAAGTTTGGTGATTCCAATATCAGTTTCGCGCTCTGTTGTTAAAGAAGGATGCCTTTTGATATGTAAGAATACAGTTCTTGGTTTATTCTACCAGTTACGTACTTCTCCTCTTTCTTTTTTTTTCTTTTTTTTTTAAATATATATATATATATATATATGTGTGTGTGTGTGTGTGTGTGTGTGTGTGTGTGTTTATGGAAACAATCTTGCCCCAAGTTATTTTCTCTATTTGATATGATTAATCCAGGTTGTTCATTTAATATGATTTTGTCACAAGCTATTTTTCCTGATCTTTCTGGTTTGTTGATTTAATAGGAATGTTCTAATTTGTTGATTAACATGATTTATATAGAGAGAGTAATTAGAGTTCCGTAGAAAGAGTCTTGTCGAGGTTTTAATGGAGATTTTATTGTTTAAATGAAGAAGAAGAAGATTCATGATTATATACAATTATTGTTTTATCTTCAAGTTGAATGTATATAATTTGAAATTTCTGTGCGCTAGCCTTTTGATTGTTAGTACTTGGTACTTGTGAATATATAAATTGCTCATCCTTTAAAAGATATCATGGTTATATATATATAGATATAGATATTGGGATGAATTGTGGTACTAGTTAAGTGTTTAATTAAACTTGTGCATCCCCTTAAAATTGTTCAAATCTTTATAAATTTGTGATTAAGGCGCTACTGGATTTCAACGGATGGATTTATGTTTAGTTTCTAGTTTAGATTTAGGAAAGAAATTTAGATTTGACAATCAAGATGATTCATCGAACAGGTACTAAGGATCGACTTGTTTATCTCATTTATCTTGGACTCTAAAAACAGTTTCAACCCAATGGCCCTTTTTGATCCTTACTGAAGATTCATCATATATAGATAAGCTGTAATATACAGATTGTTGGTTTCAACTTTCAAGTTGTATATATGGTGATATATATATATATGATTAATGTTGAATTATATAATTAATGTTCTCGTTAATGAGACGTTAATTGATAATAATGCCATATAAAAAGTAATTGTAGAATTTTCATATAATGAAATAAAAATTGTTCATTCCTGGGAAAAAAAAAAATGTTCATTCCTTTAAAAGAAATTATATATGATTCATCAACAACAAGCATTGCAAATGCAGATATTTTGAGGGGTCTGTTTCCTAGTTTTATATATGCATGAATTTAGTGTTTTTTTCTTTCTAATGTAATGAAAAGTTCCTTCCTTTAGTGGACAATAAACAGTCGTGCTGATTTTCTACTGTGTGTGTGAGAGTGTCCAGTATTCATGAATAAAAAAGGAAGACGATGGCATCTCCGATTGGGAAGTTCCGTTGAGGAACATGAAGAATAGTATTCAACTAAGCTTTATATATATATATATATATATATATATATATATTTTCATTGATTGGAGACTCAAATACTGTGGACTCGAACTCTCACCCTTATATTGGAAAGTAAATGAGATATCACAACAGATTTCATAGTGACCAACAATTTCTATATTTATCTCAATCTTTTTTTTCTTTCTTCATTCCATCTTTTTTATTCTCGTCTATCTTTATCATTACATTAGTGGTAATTATTGAATATAGATTTAACCCCTATTTTTTCCTTTCTCTCGTACTTTTCCTTGTATTTCATTACTAGGGATAGAAATTACCTGTCCGGCCCTATTTAAACCGACTTTGGGGAATCGTTTAAGGGATTTGGGTGGACCGGGTTTTACGCGAGTTCAATCTCACTAACTCACTCCATCTGAAGCTTCTGAATGCACTTTTATTTGTACACTTTTTTGGAGCATTGGACTAGATTTTTTAAAATCTAGTTCTATTGTTCTTTACTTTAATTTTGTGTGGTCTTATTAAATTTTATTATCATGAATATGATTTTTCTTACATTAATTACAACCATTATTATTTATCACGAGAAGAAAAAACCTCACAAAAAATTATTGCTGTAGGGTTTTTTATCTGTTGCCCTCAAAATTTGACCTTTTTTTCCCAAAGTATGTTCTCATGATACAATTTTATTGTAGGTTGGTGGAAATTTTGTTGTTAGTTACCGGGAAAAAAAAAAAAACCTGCAAAATTTATTGTTTCTCCGGTTCTGATTTTTATTCCTCAATTCAAATTGGACAATGGAGGTTTAACCATTTATTCATACCCATAATTGTTCTAAACGAGATGGGGTGGGGCGGGGGTATGTACTGACAGAATTGATCAAGTTGAACAAGTAAGAATTTATTCTCTAGACGACATTTTATTTAAGTGTCTCAACAAAAATAACAACTCATACCGGCAAGAGAGAGTGTTATATGAAATTCAAATTTTTCATCGAAATTGATAGTAGTTTTTAGCTCTTGTGTAGTTCATGTTTGTATGTGCATCTATTTTGGAAACATTGGAGTATTACTTGAACTTGATGAAAAGCATACAATTGTAAGATCATTAAGTTGGCAAATGTTTCTCAGACTTTTGAATCTAATTTCAGTAAATTAAATTCTTCTATATAATAGAATCAAATCCTTCATTTCATATATATCGGGCTGCTCTATAGTGTTTTTAACTCAATTTTTCAATCCACAAGGTGAAAATTGAAATGCTACTACTCTCTTTCAAAAGGGAGCCAAACAAGCCCCTAAATTTCTTGATTCTTTGGCAAAAACAACCATATGAAGGTTCTAACCTAAGCCCTATTTGACTATTTGCCCATTTAATGTATTCATATGAGACCCGTCTAGATCCCACATGAATTCATCATATGGCTGCAAATAAATTGGTTAGCATGTTCGGCTATTTATTTTTTGTTTATGTAATATGGTTATTTCTAGAATAAATACATGTGGAGTCTAAAATTATGAAGTTATACCATGTAAGTGAAGGCTCTTCAAAGGTTTCATAAGTATTATAAATGCTGAACTCAACACAAACAAACAAACAGGATAAATAGAGAAATATATTGCATGAAAAAAAAAAAAAAAAGCTAATTTTTATTTAACTAATTTATTAATTTATATTGTATGAAAAGGATGGTATTTTTATGGTAAACAAATATAAACCGATTATAGTATGTTTTATTATAAATAGTAAAGTTTTAATTGTAATGACCTTAAACCGATACCATTAAAAATAAAAATAAAAAAAAATAAAAAAAAAAATTGGGCATGACCTCTACTAAAAAGGGACCTACAACCACCTGCTAAAAAAACGCAATGACCCTTCATGGCCTTTCAAGACCTATCCAACCTGCCCCAACACACAATACAAAAGAACTATAATGCATTTCCCAATACCACAACATCAACAACCTTCCCAAATTAGCCCATCATCGCAATCCCCTTCAACTTAAGCATTTACATGGTCTCAGTTTACAACAAAAATAATCAAGTATCTTAGTTATGTTACAGGGCCATGATTTGCAAAAATAAATACTTTTTTACATAATTTGAGACAATACAAAAAAAAAAATGAGCTAAAACACAAAAGATAACAAAATTCAACTCCTAATCTTCTTCAAGCTTGCGGGGGATTGTCATTCGCCACTTCTTTTCCGAACCTGAAAAATGTTAAAAAATAGGGGTAAGCAAAATTGCTCAGTAAGTAGTGTCTAAGGCACACCTCTTGAAACCTCGTGAATCCACACAATGAATAAGAATAAGGAAATTGGGATCATATAATGCCGGGAGTAAAAGTATAACTACGATACCACATCATTAATCCAATACCACAAATAAATATGCCATGTACTGAGATGTCGTGCCATGCAATGTCACTCCCCATTTTCCCCAAACCATTTCCATTATTATTTCCAAACCGTTAGTGAACTCGTCCTATGGTAACTCCATGGCCGCACGAGAGGAAGATTGGTCACAGTCCCTGACCCATGGCAACTCCATAGCGTCATTTGGGTCCAGGTAACTCAACCACACTAGGGCGGTCTCCCTAGTCCCCTCTAGGCCTTACTAACGCCGTAGTCGATCCATAGGCAACTCCTAGGCGGCCTGGTTTTTTACAAAAATCTTTTTCAAAATTCTTTCCCAAAATCCATTTCATTTCTTTCAAATCAATTTTTTTCCATTCTTTCTCAATGAATGCATATATGTCTTATGCATTTTAATGACGTACCAATAAAGAATTTTTTTTTTTTATTATTTCTTACGAGTCAAATATTTACATATACATGCCTCATAGGAATATTATAGGAATTTACATCATGTTTCAAAATCATAAAATTCAACATATATGCATGAAATTTAACATTAATTTAACATGGTCCTTTATCACATAACAACTAACATGTATATATATACACATCTCATATACAACATATAACAAATATGAAAATAAGACAAATTAGAACACAAATTAAACACAAATTAGGAAAAATTATTCACCAAAACCTAAGAGATTGTGGATTAAACACCCTTACCTCAATTTAAGCCAAAATCTCCAATTTTCACCTCAAACTCTCAAAATGGGTCTCAATTTTCGGACTCCCGAGAATGGCCAAAAGCTGAAATTGCTGGTATGAATTTGAAGATCTTGTCGTGGGCTTCAATTTGCTGCAAACGGTATCCAAAATTACTAAGTATTGAGAGAGTAATTAAGCTCTAAAATTTTGATTGAAAAAGAAAAGAAAAAAAAAAAAACAATAAAGGGCGTGAGAGAGAACCAGCGGGAGAAGAGAGGATAGAGACCAAATGTGGTCTCAAGGCCTTAAGGTGATGGTGGTGGGTTCCACTAATTCTTTTATAATTTTTTTTTTTCTTTTACATACATTTTACACAACTCACACACATAATTACATATATATAAATAAATAAAACATAAACATTACATTAATAATAAGTTAATTATTTTAAAAAATAATAATTACAAATCTAATTTTTTTTATTTTTAAGATAAATAAAGGTAAATGGTATAACTAATATTAGATAAGAGAAAATATACTAAAATAATTTAATAAGAAATAACAACTTTAATGATAAAGGGTAAAATAATATTTAGTGATGGATTTATCCTTAGTTGTAATAAATGGATAGTTCAGAGGAACAACTTCTAATTTAGCTAGGAGAGAGATTTACAAAAAGGCGATAATTCATTTTTGTACTTTACCTTAAAAATAAAAAAATAAAAATTTCTCTCGAGAAATATCACATAAAGTTTGGTGCCCAAGTTACCTAGATATTGCAAGTAGAAACCCCATACCCTAAAGATAAAAATCAAGCACAACCCATTTATATACGGTGATCACATTATCTCTCGTGTATATGTGTATATATACACACACTCTGTTTCACAAACCCATTTATTGTCATTACTTCTTGCATGCTCTGTTCTTGACCTGCACAAAGTACTTTTCAGTCTCGATCACCCATGAACAACAAACACGAAATGGCGACTGACCAAGAAATCATCAACAGAACAGGAAAATTCTCAGAGCCCCAACAACAACAGCAAAAAGATCATGTCAATCATCTGCAGCTCACTCTTTCTTCCTCTTTTCCTCCCACCACTCCAGCACCACCGCCGGAGAAACAACCACCACCACCACCCCTGCAAGAAAAACAAGAAGATCGTGATACTGATCTGCGGCTTACTCTTTCTACATATTTTCCTCCCTCTACTCCTCCTCCACCACCACCACCACCACCACCACCACCGGAGAAACAACCACCATCACCCCTGCACGAACATCATGGCAATGATTTTCATCTTACTCTTTCTTCATCTTTTTCTCTCTCTACTCCACCTCCACCACCACCACCACTCCAAGAAGAACAAGATCATGACAATCATTTTCAGCTTACTCTTTGTCCACCACCACTACCACCACCCACAATGCTGCAACCGCCACCATCATCTTTGCCGCCGCCGCCCCATTCTCTCTGCATGACACCTTTGGGCCTAATGCCGCTCTGGTCTTCTCCATCACGGGAACGCCTCTACCGTGCCGTTCTTTGGCACGAAACAGTCCCAGCACCGTTCCCATGGGCCACCACTCGCAGAGTCACCATCCATAGTCTTGCTCATCTTCAATCCCAACAAATCTCCACCATCACAGGACAGGTCCAATGCACGAAATGCAATAAAATCTACCAAATTCAATATAATCTCAGAGAGAAATTCAATGAAGTGGTTGGTTTCATTGTCAAAAACAAAGCCACCATGCGTGATCGAGCTCCAAACGAATGGTTGAACCCTGTTCTTCCAATTTGCAATTTCTGTCAAGAACAGGGCAATTACAGAGTGAAGCCAGTGATTGCAAAGAAGAAGAGAGAGATCAATTGGCTATTCTTGCTTCTGGGTCAGATGATTGGGTGTTGTAATCTCTCACAGTTGAAATATTTCTGCACACACAACAAGACTTATCGAATAAGTACTAAGGATCGAACTTGTTTATCTCACTTATCTTGGACTCTGCAAACAGCTTCAACCCAATGGCCCTTTTTGATCTATATTGAAGATTCATAATTGTAATGATACTAATGATCCTGATTAGTATGTGTGTGTGTGTATATACTGTTAATAATGGAAGACTTTTGTTTGTTTGTGGGGCCCACTAGTATGTTCGATTGTAATGGCCTTAAGGCCATTACACAGACTACATTTCTTACTTTCTCACGTCAGTTTTCTCCCTCACTCTTATTTCTTTTTTTTCTTTTTTCTTTTTTCTTTTCTACACAATTTCAAGCCATGATCTAGAGATTTTCTTTAGGAATTGATCTTGCTACTTAAAGTAAAGTTGATGAGCGCGTCAAGACCTTTGTTTTGATCGGAGCAATTTCTAGTTTGGAGCACTTTTGAAGTTTTGAATTTTGGGTATAAATTAGGGCTTTTCATCTATTTTGAGGTAGTGGTGTTCTAATTCACAATTTTTTGGATTTCTTATAAATTTTTTCTTTAATTTGACTCTAAACATACTTAATTTTAATTATTTTGATTATGTTTGTTGTGGTTGTTGGTATTTAAGATGATAAAGGCATGTTATGTGTTAAGTGAACTTATGAATATGATTAAATTCTTGTGGTGAAGAAGCATGCTTAGTGTTGATGTATTATATGCTCTATAATTTTAAATTGTTATGAAAAGTGATGTTATAGTTATGAAAATAAATGATTTTATTTTATACCTTATGTAATTAAGTTGTTGGATTTGCGAGTTGAAAGTATATAAAAAGCCAAGATTTGGAAATATGGGAATGTGATATTATGTAGAAATTCATGTTTTAAAAATGCTTAAATGATGTGGATGATATGTACGAAATTTTTATATTGTCATAGCATTGAAGGAATTGCATTTTTCATGCATTGCCATTAGGAAAGTAAAGGGAAAAGTTTGTTTTAAAAACAAATGAAATTATTTTTGGGAAAAGTTTTTGAAAAGTGTTTGTGAAAACCGGACGCCTAAGAGGCGCCTAATGATCCGTGGTGTTAGTGTAGTCTAGAGGGGATTAGGGAGAGACCCTAGCGTGGTTGAGCTAACTAGGTCGGATACAACGCCTTGGAGTTACCTTGTGGTAGTGAAAAGTTAGCCAATCCTCCTTTCGTGACGCCTTGGAGGTGCCTTGGATCGGATTGTACTAACAGTTTGGATGTTGAAACGGTATTGTTTCGGAAATGGGGAGCGACATTGCATTGCATGACATTTCATTGGCATACATTATACATTTGGTGCTTAGACGACTTGCGTATGTATTTGTTAATATTATTGTTACTTTACTTGTTTTCCCCGAGACATGATCCCGTTTACTTCTACCCTATGTTTTATGTGGATTCACGGGGTCGTAAGAGGCGTGTCTTAGACACTTCCTACTGAGCGGTTGGCTCACCCCATTTTATTATTAACATTTTTCAGGATACGAAAGGGAAGTGGCGGACGACACTCCTCCACAGGTTTTAAGGGGTTAGTGGAATGTCTTGGCATATTTTGTAGTTATGGTCTCATTTTTTTATTATTATTATTATTATTATTATTATTATTATTATTATTATTATTATTATTATAAACCCTGGAATGACACATATATTATGTATTGACATAAGAAATGACGGTAGTGTCCTTAGTTGACCTCGGGTTCGGATAAGGACCCGGTTAGTAATTCGGATCTTTGGGTTCGGATCGTTACAAATTTGGTATCAGAGTTTTAGGTTCGAAAACCTAAGGATGACGGGTAGGGTTAACCTAAGTGGGATTTAAGTTGATTTAGAAGTATTGCATGTTAAAATGTTTATTGTTTTGATAAGCATGTTTACTTAATACTTGCTTATGTGTTGCGGTTTTGAAAGACACGTTTTTTTGATAAGTGTTTACATGTTTACGTGTTTAATTGCAAAAATTTGTGTTACGTGGCCATGTATGTGGAATAATTGTATAAACCAATTATGTAAATGAAATGTGAAAGTATTTGAAAGCATGTTATATATGATAAGGTGAAAAGTATGTAATACATAATGATGGCAAGTAGTAGGCACGGTTGGTGTAATTTTTTTTTTTTTTTTTTGATTAAGTGACAAGTAATGAACATGGTATTGTGGGTTTCATTCATTTTATATATGTGTATATCTTTATTCTTATGTGTTTATGTGGTCGAACATGGGATGGTTGCTAGGCGCGCATATCTCTGAGTAACCTGGTCTCAAACCATGCTAGGCTGTGCCGGTGGTGGCACTGGAATAGGTGAAGGAGGTGGCGTGTGCTCAGCCTCATGTGATGAAGAAGAAGAAGAGGAGGAGTGCTCGAACTAATTAGGAGTTGGCTCCTCCGGCTCCTCTATCCTCTGCCATACTTGGCGGTCATATGTCCGGCTGGTTATATTCTTAAACCTAGTCATAGCCTGCAAAAAAAAAAAAAAAAAAAAAAAAAAAAAAGAACACTTGCAATTGTAGTCAGTAATAGGAAATAGTATAGGAGATATAGAAATGAAAACACAACAGATAGAAACATGCTTGTCAAATTAAGATAAATAACTCAGAATATAAGTACATGAACCTATCTATGCAAGTGGTAATGTAGCCAAGTATAGACGGTGAATGATCAAATATGTGAAACATGCTAGACATGATAGGCAAATAATGCAACCAATATGGAAAACACAGGCATTGGGCATAAATATAATAGCATGGATACAAGAGAGAGTATAGGAGTATCAATTATGCAAAACAGTGAAGTTCGAACGATCATAGAAAAATGTGATCGATCCAAGTTGGATCGATCATGACATGCATTGGATCAATCGTGCCCTGATCGATCAGGGCACTAGTGTGATCGATCGAACTTGCTGAGAAATGAAAAGTCACCCGTTCGTGACGTGGAAGACATGGGGCACATCCTAATGGCACTTCAAAGCTCGTGACCCCCTATACAATTCAACAATGCAAAAATGGTCACTTAAAATGGCATGTGACCCCTGAACCAAATTTGAAAACAAAAACGATGTATACACATATATACATATATATACACATGCCCAAAATTCTAAAAATGGAAACAAAATCAACATGGGAGGCTTGAATCTAAACATGGCAACATTAATCATCAAAACAACACAAAAAAAAAAAAAAAAAAAAAAAAAAAAAGCATACCAAAGATTTGAGGAGAGAAGTGTACCTAAAGAGGAAGAGGAAAGATACCTCGGAGAACTGACAGTCCAGAAGATGTATCAGTCTGAGCAAGCGCAAAGACACGTCCCTGCGGTGCCTGTGCCTGAAAACTGCCAACCTGAACACCGAACTGCTGCGCCGACACAATAAGAGTATCCTTCCTAACTAGTCGT